TGGACAGAATGTAATAATGTAATTATTCTTCAACTCTGGCTTTAACCCTTCCCATGTACACACGTTCTGCTTTTCCCAAGTCGAGCAGTGATTTACAATTAAATATGATATACACCATCTCTGTTCAGTTCTTCTTCCATCTCACTAACACAAAACCTTATGTGTCCCTATGTGAGTTAACTCTGGTTATCTCTCTTGATTTTATCTCCCATAGCTCTACTTACACCACTCCAGGATCAGTGACATTCTTGTTTTCCCTGAAATGTGCACATTTGTTTCACTTTGCACTTATTGTTCCATTTGCCTAAAAGGCTGTTCTCCCAGGTATTCACATCACTGCATTATCAGCTCCTTGGTGAGAACATTCCTGATTTCTAATTTTAACTTCCACCCCTCCTGAAAGCTTTCTCTCCTCCACATGGTCCAGTGATATACTATAAATTATAATTGATTGCTTACTTTTTTTAAAGATTTATTTTTTTATTACAAAGTCAGATATACAGAGAGGAGGAGAGACAGACAGGAAGATTTTCTGTGTGGTGATTCACTCCCCAAATGAGCGCAACGGCCAGTGCTGCACCGATCCGAAGCCGGGAACCAGGAACTTCTTCCCGGTCTCCTACATGGATGCAGGGTCCCAAAGCCTTGGGCCATCCTCAACTGCTTTCCCAGGCCACAAGCAGGGAGCTGGATGGGAAGTGGAGCTGCCGCGATTAGAACCGGTGCCCATATGGGATCCCGGCGCATTCAAGGAGAGGACTTAGGCCACTAGGTCACGGCACCAGGCCCTGATTGCTTACTTTTTATTGCTTTCTTCTACTTACCAAAATTTAAGCCTCATGTGGATCACTGTTCCTGGGTAATGCTGACTCACAGGTGGAAGGTACTCAATAATAAGTGTGGAAAAGTTTTTGTTGGGCTTGGCGTGATAGCCTAGTGACTAAATCCTCACCTTAATTCTAAGCCTGGCTGCTCCACATCCCATCCAGCTCCCTGCATGTGGCCTGGGAAGGTAGGAAAGGATGGTCCAAAGCCTTCCAATTCTGCACCTGCATGGGAGACACAGAAGAACTCCCTGTCTTCGGACAGACTCAGCTGCTGCCACTGCAGCCACTTGGGGGGTAAACCAACAGACAGAACATCTCTCTCTATCTCTCCTTCTCTCTGTAAATCTGCCTTTCCAGCAAAAATAAATACATCTTTAAGAAAGGTTTTGGTGAAATATCTCTCCCTGGATGTCATCCCATCATGGCATAAGATGCACACTGACTTCTGAGAGTCATTATCTTCCTTCCTTAAAAGCTAGGAGAAACAGAGTTTCCTTGAAGCACTGGCTGTCTCTCATTCTTAAGTGATGTGGACTCTACCAGCTCCCTTATGCAAACTACTATCTCCTCCTCAGCTGAGGATGTCAAGGACCCGCACTGCCCAAGGAGAAAGTCCAGATCCCTCAATCTATCCCTTTGCATCTGATTGTGCAGCCACTTTTAAGCCATATTGTCTCTTCTCCCCTGTACCTTGATTTCCACACAAAAATTTTGTTTCCTCAACTGAACATTTCTCAAGCTTACACTGCTTCTTTCAATTTTTATTCTACCTAAAATCGCCTCTGTGCTCCTTAATGTGCAATTCCTTTGTCACTCACAGGACTCATTTCAAACATTACTTCTATACAGCCACCAAAATAAGAGCGTGTAACAACCACTGAATACCTGCTAGGATCCAAGCAATTTACATGTATTACATCATTTAATCCCTAAACAAGGAAATCACAAAAGTATTAATCATTATCTCAAATTATACATGATAGGATGTGGCTAAAATGAACGAGGATACTAGTCTCAGCTTCAGAATTAATAAGGACTTGGGCTATGACATGATCTTTGTAACACCCAAGCCCAAATGACAAACCTCTATAAGAACAGCTGAGATGACCTTGTAAAAACTACACTGAATACCTTTGGTAAGTTTAGGTCTTTTTTGAAACCGTTCATTGTATCATGGTCAGATGAGAACTACAAACTTCAAACCACAAGTGCTAAGAAGCAGCCACTTTACAACTACCCAGGCAATAAATCAAGGTATCCACTATGAAATTTCATTTTAGGCTGCAGAAAAACACAAAATTTCTGTGGGCATATTTGTGTGATCAGAAAAAGAAATTATAACACCATTAATGTGCATTTATAACATTCATACAGATGTAGTCAAAGCAAAAAGACAATAACACTGTATATTCCTGCCACCAAGTCTCCATAAAGGTCACCTGATATGCTGATCATAATTCTGGAATGTTGCATCCCATATATCTTTGTACTCAATAATTATAAATGCACCCATCCCCATCTCTGGTCTTAGTACAGCTTCATTGCACTGACCTTTTCACTATGAGTTGCTTTGCTGGGTTTGCACACAGCATCCCACCCAAAGGTGACTTTGATAAACCCTCTGAAGATAGTTCCAGTAGGCCTCCAAGGCTGTCTCCAAAGTGGCCCTGTCTGTGTTGCCATGGTAAACAACCAGGCAAATTGCTATATTCAGTTCTCTGCCAGGGTCGCCATGGTGACTGCAAAGGACTGCTTCTTAGAAGGACCTCACAAGGGCGCGTTTCCATGGTGACCCATTCCTGCGTATTTCTAAGCAACTTCCCCTCAGTTGTTCTGCGCCCAATCACGGCAGGTTCATTTCCAGGGTAACTCTGGAAGGTTTTTCCCAATGATGCCATCAAAACACACAGGAACTTTGAAGGGGGAAGTGTATAAACAAATCCCACAGTTTGAAAATGTAAGTGGCAACATTCACAAATCACTGAATCAGTTTTATACATTTCAGAAAGGATCTGTTTTGATAAGCAATCAAAAATAAGTATAACAACTCTGTTAAAAGTGTCTATTTCAAATCTTAATTAAAAGTATCTTAATAGGATACAAATGACATTTCAAGTTTCTCCAATCTTAGAACATATTACAATCTTACAGCTATGTGGCTATTAAGTAGAGTCAACCTTACACATACACACACAATGAAAACAAACAGATTGACTGTTGGGTGATGAGGAAATAGCAAAAAAAAATTTTACTGACCAAACCATGGGATATTTATACGACAAATGAAAAAAGACTTTGGTTGGTTGTTGTTGTTTTTGCAGTTGAGTCGGAAAATCATGATCATTATGGACCCAAGGTAATTCTCCCTGCTCTTCAGGCAGGGACACCCTCACTAATCTAACTTTCGCATTAAAATATGAACACGGGCTTTTTAAGCATTTGTTATTATGCTTCTAAAACTTCAAAATTCTGCACTTTTTCTGATACTTCACCAGGAGTGAATGCTGTGTAACAACTAATTTAATGTTATTAAAATTAGTAAACAAACATAAAATAAATGTTGAGGACCAAAACATGTAAAACTTCTGTACATGTCCACTCCCTTTTATACCCTTTCCAGTAGATGCTAAAAATTATATGTGAGTGCATGTGTGTGTATTTCCTGGCAGACACACAGAAAAGGTTAATGCACTCCTCCGTTCTGCTAGTTATATACTCTGTTACCAGCACTCACACATTCCTTTCTCCCACCTTGCCCACAGGCACCTATCAGCCATCATGTACATTCTATTCTAGATACTAGCACTTCAGTGTTCCAGTAAAACACAATGAAGAAATGTTAGTCTGAGGCATAGTCAGTTTTAGTGTAGTCTCATTGTTTTGCACAAAGTCTAATTTTTGAAGAGTTCTTGCTTCAAGTCCTTTGTTAGCTTCCATGAATAAAGTCACTGCATTTTTTTCCTCCAGGCCTCCCTTCCTTCCCACCTTTCAATTCTTCCTTACACTAATTATTTATTGAATGACTACCATATGCCCAGTAGAGTGTTCAGACTGCTAGGAACTCTTTAGCAAACAAATAAAAATGTGCAGCCCTTAAGATGTTTAGATTATTGAGAAACACAAAGAAAATCAATTAGGCAATCACACATTATAAACTGATTAAACATGTGGAGAGAATTACAGCAAAAAAGCAGCAATCCTTGGCTAAGCAGAGGTACAGGGCGCTATAACATTACAGAGTTACGAGGGGATTGGGAGATATCCCATCTCTCACCCGATGTAAGCGTGTACAATACTGTACTCAGTGCTCACCTAAATTCTAAACAGAGAAATTAAGAAAGTACCTTTAAGGAGCACTCAACAGAAAGCAGCAAAATCCTGCCCACTCTCCCACCTTCGGCCCTTGCCCTCTGAGGGGCAGCACAGTGTAAGGTAAGTGACATCACAGCTCTCATTCCTCCAGTGTGTCTCCAGTGTGTCTCTTCCTTCATTTCAAAATAAGCATCATATTCTGATATGTTAGCACTACTCTGAAAACACACAGATACTAAAATAAATAGAAAATATTGTGGGTAAAACAGTATATGTGGAAAACTTGCTTTAGAGTTCTTCGACAAACAAAAAATATGTGGAAAGGTATAGTCAGAACAAGTTGAGCACAATTTGGAGAATTAAAGCCCACTAAACGGTACATAAGCTTTCATTATACTATTATACCATTTTTTAAATGTTGGAAAATTTCCAGAAAAATGTATTTAAGGGAGGGATGAAAGTTGAAAATGAAGATATCTCTTCTACAAAGATTTCCACAATACCTGGGAAAAAATATATACGCGTATTAACGTATCCATATAAGCATCCTATATCTTAGGTAAAACTAGCAAAAAGCATTTGTTTAAATATTTACTGACCCAGAACAATGCCAAATATTTCATATCTTGCTTCTAACACATAACGTCCCTTTAAAACATTCCATAGTTTCCCTCTAGTATAGGACAATAGATGTCAGAAAGGCAGAAACACATCCTTACCAACTCTGTAGACGCCTCTGGAAGTAGGTTAAGATTCTCACAGAACCTACCGAATGCTTAGCAAAATCATGTAAGAAGCTCTACATGGTCAATAAAAAACTTAGAATGAATGTTGCCCAGATCAGAACACTTAGAAACTTACCAGCTCAGAGTCTGCCTTTTTATAGTCTAAAGCCTCGACTTTGGATTCCAGTTCTGCTTGTATTTGGTCTCTTCTTTTCATAACATTCTTTATATTAAAACAAGAATTAAATAGGCCATTTAGTATTAATAATCTCTTATAAAAAACAAAAATAAAATCCCCATACCAACAGTTTCTGCCATTTGGGAATGTAACACATATAAAGCTTGAGAGTTGCTTTATTTTTAATTTCTAAAAGCTAAAAGCACATATTTAGGAAGTTTTTTTTTTCACAAATCTTTTATCAGCTTTCTCGGTCCTCAAATTCTAATCGAAGCAAGCATTCTCTAAACAGAACAAAAACAGAGCAACACAAATGTCAATTAGAATATCAAAGTGTACTATACAGGGAACAAGTTGGAAGGAAGACTGCACGGACCATTCACCTGGATGCTCTACCATCTGTGGGAGCTTCTGAGTCAAAAGAGGTAGCTGATGTAATAGGCAATCATGGCGGGCCATTAGAACACTGAAGTGTGCACTCACATGAAGTATTTTATCTTAGTTCAATATGAGTGAATATTCAACCATGAGCCAAGCTTTTGATGACATACCCTGGCCTCTGCATCGACTACCAGGAGTTCCCTCTTGCTTTTTCAAAAATCTCAGCCTCATAGTTCAATTTTCTCAAACTTAAAACTCTCACCAAAAACAAGCTGATTAAGAATCCATCTATGCATTTAACAGTTTGTACAAATCTTTTACCATGTCTTTCCCTAGATGACTCTCGGCTTCTGAGATAACCTGGTTAGGTTTCATAGACAAAAGGATCCTTTCTCTTTGCACTCATCTCTTTCTGGGTCTCCCAATATTAAATAAGAAAACAGTGATGAACACAAACACACACACACACACACACACAATACTGACTCTAAACAAACAACAGAAAAGCAGAACATGGAAAGGAAGAGACATGAGGAGGTTCAGTCTCCTGGATGTCTTCGAGAAAAAAGCAAAAGTGATCACAATAAGCTTCATGCAGCTTACTTACAATGATAATTAATAATTAATGAGAAGCAGTAATACTTGAATTAAAAAGACCCTGAAAATTACCCACCCTGGTTTTTGCATCTGGTAAAATCATTAAAACACTTAAAAGAGATTATATTATACCTAGTTTCAAAGAACTCCATGCAATATTTAATTATCATAAATCCCTTTTTCTTCAATATTTAGTGGGCCCTTAATGTGAGGAAATCACTTTCTTTCCCTAACCCAAATAACTCATCCTACAATTTACTGAAGGTCTGTTTCCATATCTATGAGGTACTATAGCTCACATGCACAGGTACAATTTAACTAAGAGGTTTCTTCAGAAGACAACTAATGAAAATTTAATAATTCTTGTTGAGACATTATTTTTCATTATTTCAGCCCAGACTGAAGAAGACAGAAACATTCCAATATAAAGCAGAACAAGAGGCCCATATAAATATGACTGATCATATCCTAGAAGTCGAAAAATAATTAAATTAAATGAAGATCTATAAAATGATTCTTCCTGATTGCTATTATAATTTTTCTTAGATTTAATAACATGCAATTTAAATTGCAGAATTTCCATCTTGACATCATAAAGGGGAATCGCTATCTAATTAAGAAAAGACAATATACAAATCACATCTCTGAAGAGCTACAGAGGGGTCGGGGCAGAGGCAATCAATAATGAGTAAAGCAAAGGATATAACCAGGGAAACTGTTGGAAAGAAGCAGGAGACTCCTTTGCAGTAAAACACTACAAGCCTTCGAGACACAAAAAGGGTTTAATTATACTAGGGCACCGATGATATGAAGTTAAAGCAGAAGCCTTAATGACTGTCAGAGAAATCTGCAGATGCTAAACAAGAGAGAGAGAAAAAAGATCTCAGGCATCAAGTCCTGTAGAAATTTCCCTATCAAGATAAAAAAAAAAAAAAGTAAACCTAGAAATCCAGGGCTCCTGACCACAGAAACCAGGCATGTCTCCAGCTACAGAAAAGAAAAGGGCTGCATCTAAATGCAAGCTGACTCCTTTCCTTCCTGTCACAAACACTTGAGACTTATGTGTGCCCGTCTGTCTCTGCAAAGTGCTGCTTGTCCAGGATGACACTGGAAAAAAAAATGTGGTTTTCAGATAGTATTACTAAATCCAAGTGTTTCAAATAAGGAGATAATGGAAAAAATGGATATAAAAGAACTAAAAGCCTTTTCAAATAGTGAAAGGATAACATTTTAACTTGAAGTATTTCTGTTCAAAAGTAACTACAAAGCAGAACAAACCTCAAGATCCCACTCAAGTACCTTTCCCAGAATGGTACTAAGCACATTGCTAAATCAACTAGGCCTAAAAGGAAGAAAACAAGGATTTCATTTAGGACAAGTTCTTAAGGCAGTTTTGGAAAAAAGAAAATTTCGAAGTGTAGAAAAAAGTAATCATATTCCTAGGTAAATCTTGATTGATGATGCTTCAGATTCATGCTTAATTTTATAAACTATTGGTGTTGGTAGTAAGCAGTCCTGTCTTTTCACTGTCTCCTCCCATGTATCTGTTCACTCACACAGCCAACAAATATTTATTGAGCATCTGTAGCAAAGCTTCCTGTTAGAACTGAAAGGCAGCAGTGTGAAAACAGAAGCATACATTGCCTGTAGACAGCTTGTGAACAGGGATGGGATTCAGGTAAAATGGTAACTATGAGTGTTCTTACCATTAACATCTCACTGTAAAGCACATATTCATGGATCACAGGAAGCACGGCCTCTGAGAGTCCAGACATCCGCTTTCCAGTGGCCTTGCAGCATTGATCGATGCAGTTAGCAATGCCTTTAAGAGTATCAACCAAATCCTCTTCCGATGCTGACCACAGAATATGGACGGGGCCATATTCTTTCATTTCATCAAAATATTCTATAAAAAGATTGACTTAGGTCATTCAATTTGTAAAATTTTTCAAACTCCAGACAGCACAGATATCAAAAGCTGAGCTTGATTTTCTCATTGTGCATGAGTTCTTACATAAAAACCTAAGTAAATGTATCATACTTTATTATACTGATGGGTCGCCACAGTTTGCCCAGGTCAGTATCTGGGTGACCACTGTTAGTAACAGTATCCTTTTTCTCTGCAAGAAGTATTCTGGCTTGGGAACAATGATAATCATATCTATTATGGACTTCTATCTCCAACACAAGTATATCTGAGTGTCTCATAGGCAAAATACACGTAACAAAAATTGGATTCTCTATCCATTCCTTCTTATTGTACATTGCCACCATCCAGAAACCTAAGAAAAAAACTGGAGGAAAGAGGTCATCCTAGACAAATACTTGTACTCAGCCAATCATCAGTTCCAATCCCATACAATACGTATGTATTTATCTTACTACCTGAATGGCTACTTGCCATTGCCAACAATAGCTCCAATTTGATCAACTGTACAGAACTTTCAATGAAACTTCCTCTTTCAATTTTTTGCCTCAATGTATAACTGTAACTTTCTGTCTAAATTAGAAACTCTAATGATCAGCCTCCACTTAACTCTCCTGGTCCAAATCTTGAGATTTTCTGGCAAATATTTTGACTCAAGGCAAAATAACTGTATGAGTAAGTTAGACTTTTTTTTTCCTCTCTCAAACAACTGTCCTTGCCCCTTTGCCCAACCTTCCATCACTTCCATCACTCAACAACCCACTCCTAGTCTTTCAGATACAGCTCAGGGAAATCTCCCTTGACATTGTTTCAAAGGACCCTTGGTTTCCTTGTCCTCAGTGAGCCTCTATTTAAGCATTATCTCACTCTAGTGTGACTGCTTGCAAAACTCACACTCTCCTACGCCACATGTTCCACAGCGGAGGGTCTGAGTCTCACTATTTTTGTATCCCAAAGCCTAATCTACAATCTACTGAATAAATGTTTGCATATCAATGCAATAATGAATGAATAAGTAACCCAAGTATTCACTGCCTGATACATCATGTACTCAAAACTTTGGAATTCATTTTGAAACATGAATATTTTGACATTTCTATATTCACACTATCAAATTTCAAAAATAGGTAATATTTTGGGGTAAGGAATTTATAAGTAGTGAGCATTTTTGGTTCAATGTCCAGATATATAATTCTCTATACTTAGGCACCTTACAACTCACTAGAATTTGTTGAAATCTGTCATAATGTTCTAAATTCAGAAACTAAAATTTCAAAAGTTTGCATGCCCAAGGAGCTGAGAAAAGTTCTTAGGTCAAAATTTTAAAGTAATGGAAACATTAATGTTACCTGATGCAATTTAGGTTTAATGACCCTAGAGTCCTTTCTAACTCCCTCCTGAGGGTAGGCTTTCAGTATTAAATGAGGGCCAAAGGAGACTAATATTTCTGGAAAAAGAAAATTATCCATATGATTATTTCCTCAACAGGAATATATGCCATTGTAGTATTAACCAAGGAAGATATTTGATTTTCATACAGAGCATCTAAAAATTTTTGAATTAGGCCTGTACAGACTCAAATTACGTATGGATGTAAACATCTATTGAGCTTCAGTACACTTTTCTGCTGCAGTGACCTTTTCCCAACTAGACTGTTAACTCCATGATAGGTTCCATCTTAACACCCTACTTAATATCCAGCACAGAAAAGCTATAAGACATATTGGGCATGCAACTCTGTTGAAAGAAACTGGGAAACATGAAATAATATAAAATCAAAAGGAATCTCAATTAAAAAGTCAGAAGGGAAGAGAAGCCACTAATTATGTTCACTAAATCATTTATGACCTTTATGAATCATCCTACATTTATACCCCAAAAACAACAAAAGAAACTGTTTCATTATTTTGAATGAAATTTTGATAAAGAGAAGTTGGATCTTAAATTAAAATAAAAATTCTCTAAAGTTTGAATCATGAAATTTATCCCCTGGTAATGAGAGATTAACTTTGTATCTATCAAAATCCAGTTTCCTGTTAGCATTTCACAAGCATTAGTCTACTAATCAGCTTAATATTATTCCCTGGAGGACATTATAATACAGTAGGTTAAGCTACCACTCAGGACATCCATATCCCACACTGAATTATGTGGGACTAGACTGAATTTAGTCCTCCTCCTGTTCAATTAATTCAGCTCCTGCTAACGCACCTGGGAGGTGGCAGATGATGGTCAGCTTCTCAGGTTTCAGCCACCCATCGGCCTTTGATCTGCCTCAGCCCAGGCTTGGGCAACCATTTGAGGAATGAACTAGCAAATGGAAGGCGTGCTCCCCCCCCACCCCCCCCCGTGTGTGTGTGTGTGTGTGTGTGTGTGTGTGTGTGTGTGTATTTCTCCTTCTCTCAGTTACTCTATCCTACACATAAGTAATTGAATGAATAAACTTGAAAATCTATTCCTGGGAAGAGTGTTTGACATACCAGTTAGGAAGTTCCTTTGAGACATCTGCATCTGCATCAGGGAGCCTTGATTTGAGTTGAGCTTCCTGCTAATGCGCACCATGGGGGCAGCAGGTGAGAGCTTAATCACCTTGGCCCCTGTCATTCATAGGCGAAACTCAGACTGAGTTCCCAGTTTCTAGCTTCCACCTAGCCTGCCCCAGCTGTTGTGAATAAATCGGGAATATATACGTATGAGTGAGCTCTGTCTCTCTTTCATCAAAATTAATGAATGAATTAATTAACATTTACTGGCAAAAGCAGATAGTTTGATAACATAGCTAGTTTTGAATTGTAATCACATCCAATGACAAATTTAATACAATTGGAATTACAGAACTTAGTCAAAAGAACTAGCTTCTTGGGGCTGATGATATGGTGTTAGTGCGCTAAGTCACAGCCTATAACACTGGCATCTCATATCAGCACTGATTAAAGAACAAGCTTCTGCACTTGTAATCCAGTTTCCTGTTAGTGCCTCTGGGAGCAGTGGCCATCCCCCTGGGAGCCAGAGAAGCAGCTCCTGGCTTCTTCCTGCACAGCCCCACCTATTGTAGCCATTTGGTATATGAACCAGTACATGAACTATCCCACGCTCTCTCTCCCTCTCTGCTTCTGTAATTCTGCCTTTCAATAAAAATAAAAAGTGTGTATTCAAAAAATATTACCTTCCTTGGATAGATATTGTAGCAGAATGGCTAACTGCCACTTAGGAAGTCTAAATTTTAAATCAGAGTACCTGGGTTGTAAGTGCCTCTGTTTCCAAACCAATGCACTTTGGAAGAAAGCTGCTAACGGTTCAAGTACTTGAGTCCCTGACACCCATGTGTCTAGGCCACAGTTCCAAGATCCTGGCATGCCTAATCCAGCCTTGACTTTTGCAGGCATTTGAAGTCTGAACCAGTAAATAACGCTCTCTACAGTCAGACATTCAAATAGATAAATAAATCTTCTCTCCAAAAAATGAGCTTCTTGAGATTTAAAAGAATGCAACAGTGAATAGAAAAGGAAATCAGGGCCCAGCCAAGTAGCTTAGTGACTAAAGACCTCATCTTGCACATGTCAGGATTTCATATAAGCATCGGTTCTAATTCTGGCCACCCTGCTTCCCATGCAGCTCCCTGCTTGTAGCCTGGGAAAGCAGTTGTGGATAACCCAACGGGATCCATGGGACCCTGCACCTGCATGGGAGACCCAAAAGAGGCTCTGGGCTTCTGGCTTCAGATTGACTCGGCTCCAGCTGTTGCAGCCACTTGGGGAGAGAAGATTTTCCTGCCTGTCTCTCTTCTCTTTATGTCTGACTTTACAATAAAAATAAGTAAATCTGGGCCTGGCGTAGTGGAAGTGGTTAAGTCCTCGCCTTGAACACCCGGGATCCCATATGGGCGCCGGTTCTATCCTGGCAGCCCCTCTTCCCATCCAGCTCCCTGCCTGTGGCCCGGGAAAGCAGTCGAGGACGGCCCAAAGCTTTGGGACCCTGCCCCCATGCGTGGGAGACTCGGAAGAGGCTCCTGGCTTCGGATCGGCATAGCATCAGCCGTTGCGCTCACTTGGGGAGTGAATCATCGGATGGAAAATCTTCTTCTCTCTCTACTCTCTGTATATCAGCCTTCCCAATAAAAATAATAAAAAAAATTTTTAAAAAGTAAATCTTTTTTCAAAAGTAAAAATGAAAGGAAATCAAGGATGATTAAAACAATCACATCAGGTGTTAAAATTAGATGCACAACAGAAGAGACAGGGCAAAGTGTATTTAGCTATAGTAATTTTCATATCTTATTTAATACCCATTTTAATGACTGTACGTACCCCTTTCTTCCTTGTAAATTCTTTGCGATATTTTATCTATCAAGTTTATTTTCTGACTAAATATTTCAATAAAGTTATTCATTTCCATGAATTCCTCGGGGCGGCTCCTAACGCCCCTCATGGAGGAAGCCATGGCTCGTACTGTTTGTCCCATCCTGCTGAGCAGTCCAGGCCCTTGCTTCTTATGGGAAGACAGTTCCTAGAGACAAAAACAAAAGCATGTGTTGGGAAGCAAGCAACAGTATTATGAGAGGCAGCTTAAAGAACTCAACAACTTTATGGTAAGAGAGCACCTCTTTCATAGCCATCTTTTTTTAAGGGTCAGTTTGATGAGTCTGTCATAGTTTCATGTCTGAGTCTGGGCTGCCAGATGGTACCTCCTTCCAAACGAATCCGGCAAAACAGGTATACGATGCCTCCTTTGAGCACAAATCTTTATACAAACAGAATTTCACAAAGGAAATGATGCTCAAGGAACGTTAGAGAAGATAAGAGGTTGATACAACAGTCCATCTGTATTTTGTGATATGGATTTAATGGGAAAATGATTGAAGAGGGATTTTCCAAGGCCTCAGTTAACTCCCTAGCGGGGAAAAATAGAAAACTTCATGGTAATGAACAAAATACCGAAATTTGTTAAAAATGTAAATATATGTGAAACTATTCCCCCCTTAAAGTGTGAAATGTATCAAACATTAGCTAATACAAGGTTAACTCAGTGTGGACATTGATTAGGACTAGCTTAGGAGCGTGTACTATTAATATAATGATCTCTCCCAATAGTCTATAAGGAGGCAACACGAAAGAGCCTGAAGGCCACCCAATCAACAACAAGCACTGGAGAAACCAAGCTAAGAAGATGAATATAATAAGGGAGCCATCAAGCAAATAACTGCTCTTGACTAGTTCATAGAGGGAAAACCTGTCTCACGTGCCCTGGGCCCCAGCCGAAGAAGGAGCATGGCATCCTTCTAATGGCACCCATGACTCAGAGATGACTGCCTGATCTTCTCATGCTCCATGCAGGGACTACAGAGTAATAAGTAAGCACGGCCATCTCAGGGCTTGTCCTCTGGTCCAAGACTAAGAGGCTCAAGAGGCCTCTGGGTAGAGAAACAAGAGATTTAGGAGTGTGTGTGTGAATAAAGCATACACATTGAAAGGCATGATAGTGTAGTCTCATAACTGTACTGGAAGGCAACTGAATTGCTTGTGACAATCATTAATTTCCTAGCTAACAATTATTGACAGTTCAATTATGTTGTAGGCAACGTACTCACATTTACAATGTGCAATGAAACTATGAGGTTGCTTCTATTAGTATCCTCCTTTTACAAAACAAAAATAGCGGTACTTGAAAGTTAAGTAGCTTATACCAGACCCAAGCACCATTAAGTTGTAGAACAACAATGGCAACCCTGCGAGCCTGAGCACAGGGGCTTCACGGATAAGCACTAGCGCATTCTGCCTCCAAAGTCATTAGGACAAAGTGTAAATAGTGTCTGATTTTAGCTTTCCAACCAACTGAAGCAGGCATCTATCTAGTAATCAGAGTCTTCCTATTACTTTTTTATTAGTTTTTTGCATTATGTTTGATAGGGAAAAGGAGGGGAGGGGAAGGGTACAGGGAAGGGAGAGGGAAGGGAAGCTTAAAGAACGGGAGGTAAGGAAAGGAAGATAAACAAAGGGAAGGGAAGAAAAAGGAAAGGAGGGGGGAAGGGAGGAGAGGAGAATGGAAAGGGAAGAGAAAGGAAGAGAAGGAAAGGGAAGGGGATGGGAACCCAATCCACTATTAGTGGGATTACAAACTAGGACCACCACCTTGGAAGTCAGTAACAGAGAGTACTCAGGCAAGTGAAAATTCACCCTCTGTATAACCTAGCAATCCCACTCCTGGTAATATACCCACAAGAACTGATATATATATATATGATATATATATATGAAAGCATCTTGTATCCCTATAATCATTGCTGCACAATCCACAATAGCAAAGACATTGAAACCACCTAGATGCTCATTGAAAGATGATTGGATAAAGAAACTGTGGTCAATCTACTCCACGGAATACTATTCAACCATTAAAAAGAATGACATTCTACCTTTTGCAACAAAGTGGTGCCAACTGAAGACCATTAGGCTCAGTGAAATAAATCAAGGCCAAAAGGACAAATGTCATATCTTCTTTCTCATATAAGACAACTTTCATCCAAAATACAAAATGAAAAGATATAGAAAAGCAAATATATAATTGTAATCTGATAAAACAAAAATGTAATGGAGTCAGAGTACCAGGAATCAAAGAATGCATCTCTACTCCTGAATAAAAGTAGACTCCCAAGAAAACTGTTAAATATACCTTGACGTGAAAATACTAGGCTTTCTACTGTTGCTTATTTCTACAACGCCATGACATATATGAAGAGCAGAAGCTGGAGGAGATACTACAGCTGAAGGTTTATATTATTGTAAAATAGGGATTAATGGGTAGGGATAGGAGGAGAGAGGGAAGGAAGGAAAGAGGAAAGTCCTATACTTACAAAACTGTAAAATGAAAAATAAGAATAAACACATACACACACAGATAGGGAAAGACTGTGTTTCATGTACTGTGATGAAGAAATTAAAATGAAATTATAATAGGAAAAATGGGATTGGGTATATGAAAATTGATTGTAGTAGTGACTCACAAGTTTTGATTTGTAAAGTTAGAATTACTAATAAAAAACAGAGAAGAGTTTGCACATGACTGGGAAAAGTGTAGATAACTACCAAAATGGAATGATGGCATGTGAGGGTTAATACAGTTATCTTTTGTGTTAGCTTATATTTGAAACTTTCAATGATCAAAGCTTCAAAAAAAATCAAATGGAAGAATGGATAAACTGCACCAACGCATCCGTTAAGAATCATGGCACATTTAAAAACAACAAAAAGGGGACAAGGGATCACAATAATGGTGCAGCAACTACTGAAACACGCCTTTGCAAGGAAATAAAAGTCGGTAGCACATAGGAAAAATTCACAAATAATAATGAGTATTTCCTAACCCACAATTAAAAACACTATCATTAATTATTCACGTAAATGGGGTTCATACTGTCTCTCTTTGCCTGCACATTTTCCTTCCAGATGGTCTTGCAGAAAATATTAAAAACAAGGTACACTTATTTATTTGTAAGTCAGAGTAATATTGTGTGCAAAGAACAGAGCCATTTTGGAGGAGATAGCACATGCATGGAGCAGGGCCACAGTGTCACCACATGGAGGAAACATTACTAGGGAAACCAGAGATCATCACAACAGGCAGGCTGCTCCTAAAAGCACTGACTGTCCAGAACACGCCTAACAGCCTCCGAGCTTCTGGAATCAGGCTTCAATCTCATTTCACCTAAGTCACAGGAAGCTTCAAGACTGAGATGAACCACGTCTCAGCTTCTACCACCTCGGCAACAGAGACAGCAAACTCAACAGGTCCCAGTAATTTCTTAATACTGACCTTTTGTCCTAGCAACTGTCTTCTTGTGGAATTATAGCTACATAAAAGCAAATAAAAGAAATAAACTAGAAAATATAAGCTTTCTGTATCAGAAACCTTGCACCCGCCCCATCCTCCCACTCACTCCCAGGCAACTGAAAGGAAGAGACAGAATCTATTGGGCTATACGTCCAGCATCTATCCAACCAATAAAGACTTTATCTTCATTTAACGGTCTTAGCTTGTACACAGAACAGTATCAGTAAAGGGACCATATTTATTTGTGTTCAGTATTAGCCGTATATGTAGAGAGCTGACATGTTTTTTAAAAGGGCAACATAGGTAAGTGGGGAAGATTAATATTTCCATAATGTTATTACACAGACATGACAAATGGGAATATTTAAAGGGAGCGTCTCCAGTGTTTTTAAAAGATTTCATCTCAAGTCAAGGATGTCATCACCTCACCTGTAAACAAGAGGAAGTACACACCGCAGCACACATCTGCATAGCAAAGGATTGTAAGAGTAAAATCGAAATTCTTTACCCAGGCTTGTGCAGTAAGAAAAACTTTGAAGTCCTCATTGAATGTTAAAGTTGGGTGATCAGCAATTCGGTTCAAAAACTTATGTAATGCTTTCCTTCGCGTCTCAATGAAGTCATCATTAAATCGTTCCACCATTCCCTTCACTATAAACTTCTCTGGTAATGGCTGAAGCAAAAACAAAACAAAGTGAAACAAAAGTGTAATCCTGATTCATGATGTGACACATCATTGTAATAAATTCTATACTTTCCCTTTTTGAGGGAGAAGTGGATCATCTGAACAACTGCTGTATTTTTTTTTTAATTCACAATTCTGGAACCCGAGATACAAATCTTACATTTTATTTTTAAAAAAATCTGGATACAGAAGAAGTTTGTTGCTAACATAAATGGACTATACTGAACCTAATGTTCTGAAATTTTTCCAAAAGACTCAGAAAAACAAAAGGTAGCCATTCTAAGAAAAAGATGACTACAAACTTACTGGAATAATCAGAGTGGGATGTGCTTCTTCAAGTTTTCCCTTCAACCAAAGGAAATCTTGATAACGCCTCCTAACTTCAAATTCACTGGAGTCAAATTCCCCACGAGTTGTCTGAAGAACGTTGCAGAAAGTAACAGCACATGCAATATAAGACAGTAGACATTTGCCTAAAGTTATTTTAGACATTCTGAAATAAGAAAAATTAACAAATCTTAATTATTCAGTGTTTGTCAGTCTGCTTTTTTTGAAGTTATTTATTCATGCAGAAAATGAAACAAAGCAAACTTTTCTGTATTTCCAGAACGAAAGCAAACATGATTAAATTTAAGATCCAAGCTGAAAAATCTGTCTTGTAACAACCATCTGCCTTCCCCAAAATTTAAACTACTATTATCTCTGGCATGACTTTCTCGCTAACAAGAAAGCGTAAGCTGAATTAAGGTTTCAAGTACACTTCTTGTCTCAAGATGATCAGAATTCAGAATTTGAGGAAAGTACTATTTTTAAAATTTGGAAAATGACCCAAATACAACTGAGAAAAATGTTTTCTTGGAATACACTCAAATGAATTACTTTGCTAAAATTTGCTTTGGTATATAAAAATTCCAACATTTTACTGTGATTTTTACACCACTGTTTTAAAAATGTAATTAATGAATATTTGATGTGCAAAGAAAAATTTCCCGTCATTTCTCAAGGCATCTTATTTTGAGTTACATGCCTAAACTACTAAAAATTAAGCAAATACATTAAAATATCTGCTTTCAACAAACCAAAATTTTATGCCAATACGTATGACAAGAACACTGGTACGGAATCAATTTCACTTCCACAAAAATTCTGAATCCCAAGCCAACAGCAAAAAAAATGAGTAACTCATACATATTCATTTTCCTTATGAAAATGGTCATTCACACCATTATCTTACTTAACTGAATTTATATATGTTAAACCTTGCAGTAATATTTAGCCTGCAATTTTCTTGGAGGAGTAAGGAAGAAATACCATACATTCACTAGAAACATCAATCACCCCCACACAGAGATGAATACAATTGTAAAATTCAGCAGTACAAACTATAAGACGTAGTGTTAATTGTCATATTTGCAAAGTTGCACTTTTTGTAATGCATTCTCTTAAAATGAATAGTTAGAATGTTATACAATGTCTTTATTGTGGAAAAGGTGGGGGAAGTAACTGAAATGTAGAGATCTATGAAAATGTTCAGAAAACATTACAATATCAATGGTGCAAAATGTTATAAGATATGGAAATGGCAAAAATAAAAAAAAAAAACTATGTTTAGTAGAAACACTAATTAACAGCACCCCCCACACACATATAGTGCCTGATATGTGTGCATACATATGCATATCCACAAAACCTGGTTTGGAGTGACAAATTTTAAAAATGCTTGTTCAGGGGCCCAGTGTAGTAGTGTAGTGGCTGAAGTCCTTGCCTTGCATGTGTCAAGATCCCATATGGGCGCAAGCTCATATTCCAGCTACTCTACTTCTCTTCCAGCTCCCTGCTAATGGCTTAGGAAAGCAGTGGAGAATGGCCCAAAGCTTTGGGACCTTGCATCCATGCAGGAGATCTGGAACAACTCCTGGCTCCTGGCTTCAGGCTGGTTCGAGCCACTTTAGCAGTGAACCATCCTGATGGAAGATCTTTCTCTCTGTCTCTCCTTCTCTCTGTAAATCTGACATTCCAATAAAAACCTCAAAAAAAAGAAAGAAATGCTTGTCCAACACCTCATTTTGCCAGATACCCATGTATAAGCTAGTAACTAATTTCGAAGAAAACAAGTCACAATAACTAACTTTGACATCATTCAAAAAATGAGCAGTTAGGGCGTGGCGCGGTGGTGCAAGTGGTTAAGGTCCTCGCCTTGCACGTGCCCCGGGATCCCATATGGGCGCCAGTTCATGTTTAGGCTGCTTCATTTCCCATCCAGATCCCGGCTTGTAGTCTCGGAAAGTAGTTAAGGAAGGACCAAAGCCTTGGGACTCTGCACCCACATGGGAAACCAGGAAGAGGCTTGAAGAGGCTCCTGGCTCCTGGCTTCAGATCAGCTCAGTTCTGGCCATTGCGGCCACTTGGGGAGTGAATCATCGGGCAGAAGATGTTCCTCTCTGCGTCTTATTCTCTCTGCGTATCTGACTTTCCAATTAAAACAAATACCAGAGTGAGCTGTATGTGTCCCCAAGAATGTCCAATGTTTTAAGTAAACATAAAAGAATCTGGGTTAAATTCCAACAGGAAGATACAAAATCAAATGAAATAACGTGTTGATTTTGTCCTCATCATTCATTCTGTCCCTGACTTTCAAGACTTCTCTAAGATATTGCAACAAACATGAAGAAAACAACGGTCGAGTGTCAAGGATCTCTCCTACCGTTCTTTTTCTCTGTACTGCTGTAGGGTTAGTGCAGAAACTTACATAGGAATATTTTAAGGAAGACAGCTATTACCAACTGGGTTTAAATTGTGACTAATTTCCCTGTAGCAGATATTAGAGTCATGATGATATCTAAAACCAAATTTGGTGCTTAATAGATGATAGCTTCCAAAGTACAGAAAGAACTGGATTTAATAATAGATCTCCACCTTCCAAAAACCACATGTTCTAAGAACAGAGCATGTGTTCTATAAAGTTCATGTGGAACACACGTTATATTTGTAGTCCAAAATGTAGTTTCCCATGGAAGAACTATAACAAACAGTTGTGGATGTTTCATACGGCATTATAAAAGCTTGAGAACCTGAAATCGAATACCAATGAACTCACATGATATACCCCAAAGTGTATGTATTCAAAATATCCATATTTGCTTAAGTACAAATGGCAAGTGTCTAATCTCTGAGGGTAACAGGTTTTGAGGGAAAATATACCCTGATATAGTTCATTTAGCCAATCAAGATGGTAACTTCACCCTATCTTTACATTGATTGTAAGTTAAATGTTTACCTTTATTCTTCAGATAGAGTGCAAAGCCCTGGACCAGGTCTCTTAGGTCATAATTATTTACATTCTGATCCTTCTTCAGGATTCCTTAACAGAAGAGTGCTTACATGTGTCCATATGTGCATGTGTATTAATTTTAATAATTTTTAGAGTCCATGAATATTAACATTTAAAGAAATAAAACATTTCCAAGGAAGGCTTCACTGAACCTCCAAGTTGAAAGGGGTATCCAGTGTTCATAACATCCTGCAGTCTCCTTTACATCATTCCAAAGAACGCACACAGTTATTTAACCCTCCATCCCCTGGTACTCCAGGCGGAAAGTTCTGTGAAGACAAGGCTCCCTCTGCCAATGAGGTGTTATACAAGCAGAATACTCGGTGCTCATGATAACTCAGAGCCATAAATGATTCAATGAATAAATGAGGATAAGTAAAGGACAAAGAAAAGCCTGATAATGTAAAAAACATCAACTAAATGTTTGTATCTTCTTATTTGCAATGTATATGTAAGTCCATATAGGTATGTTCTAAATAGATGTAGTAAAATTAATGAGAATTAGTATGAAAGAGTTCAGTTGATTTTAGGTAATCAGAAGGATAGCTTGCTATATCTAAATGTAGAGCAATAGAAATATATAATAAAAACTGGATAACAGAAAATAACCAATCTGGCTATAAATCCTAGCTATTTGTCACATTGTTTGATTTTTTCCATCATCTGTGATGATAAAATGGAAATAAAACATTATATCTACGCTATAATTAGGTTAAAAGAGTTAATATAGACTAAAATGAGCTAATAAAGAAAATCCTTAGACATTAACACAAAGAAATCCAAATGAATGTCAACCAGGTCATACACTTATCCATCATTTTAGAATACAATCTAAATATGGGTGACTCAGAATCATTGTATGTTAATGACCAAAATGAAACCAACAAGTGTGTTTCTGAGCAAAGCAGATGATGCAGGAAAAATTCAGTATCAGAATCTCTTTGCTGAGAAAGATGGCGAAAGATGTATGATTTTAATGGTAATCAAAAAGAACTCTATTCTTAGCAATATGTCTATAGAATATGAATATTCTACAGTTTTCATGAGAAGCATATGAGGTTAAGACTGCTGTCCTATTTACAAGCTAGGAAACTTATCTAAAGAGCTTAAATTCCCTACAACACAAACAAAGGACAGAAATCAAGACACAACTCCATTTTGTCTCACTCTATCATTTTTTAAATATATTCATTTATTTGAGAGGCAGAAAGAGCAAGAGAATGGGAGTGACCAAGACAATACCCCCAGGCACCACTGACTGCTCAGAATGCCTGGCATCAACCAGGCAGTCCAGCCAGGTTTCCCCCTTTTGTGGCAGAAACCCATCAACTTGAGCCACACCCACTCCTTCCCAGAATCTACTTTAGAAGGAAGCTATAATCTGAAGCCAGAGCCAGATTCTGAACCCAAGGCCTCTAATACGGGACACCTCGCAGCATCTTAAACGCTAGGCCAAGCAGTCACCTCCACACCGCTTCATATAACTAAGATAAACTCACTCACTCACTCACTGACTCACTCAAAATTGTAATTGCTAATTACTCTGTCCCAAGAATTATGTTTGGAATTATGCGTAACTTATGACCTCATTACCAGGGACAGCTTGGCGTGCACATTATGTTACTAGTATTACAAATGAGAGCCAGCTTGAGTCTCAGCTACTCCACTTCCAACTCAGCTCTCTGCAAACTCTCCTTCAGAAAGCCAGGGAAGAGGGTTGTAATATTTAGCCCTGGCACCCATTCAAGAGACCCAGATGAAACTCCTGTCTCCTAACTTTGGCCCAGGCCCAGCTGTGCAACCAATCAAAGATCCCACCCTCTCTGTGTCTCCCTCTATATTTGTAACTCTGCCTTTCAAATAAAGAAATCTTAAAAAAAAAAAAGTTTTCATTAGCTTTCCTCGGAAGTGCACAGAGAAATTCAGAATGTATATTAAAAATATGAGGCCCAGCCGAGTAGCCTAATGCATAAAGTCCTCGCATTGCACCATATAAGTGCCAATTCTAGTCTCGGCGGCCCTACTTCCTATTCAGCTCCCTGCTTGTGGCCTGGAAAAGCAACGGAGGATGGCCCAAGACCTTGTGACCCTGCACCCGTGTGGGAGACCTGGAAAAAGCTTCTGATTCCTGGTTTCAGATCGGGTCAGCTCTGACCATTGTGGTCACTCGAGGAGTGAATCATCAGATGGAAGATCTTCCTCTGTGTCTCTCCTCCTCTCTGTATATCTGACTTTCCAATAAAAATAAATAAATTTTTTAAAAAGCACAAAATTGCCCCCAAACAGATGTCAATTACTGAAATTGTATCCTGTAATAGGCACTTTACTTTCTAGCTCAATTCTAACTACCCTACAAAACTAGGTTCTATAGGATCCCCGTTTTATACTTCAAAAATAAAACTCTGAACCTTACGATTAAATAAATCATTTAAATTCTTGGTTGAGTAGGGTACTTGTGTAGCTGGTTAGCTGCCAACTGCAATGCCAGCCTATGGATGCCAGCTGCAAATCCCCACTGTTCCGCTTCCGATCCAGCCATCTAAATGTGCCTGTAAAAGCATCAGGGCACAGCCCAAGTGCCTGGATCGCTACACCCACCCCCATGCCCAGAGGCCTGAAGGAAGCTCCTAGTTGGCTTCAGCCAGCAGCAACCCCACCAACTGTGGGCATTGGAGGAATGAAGCAGTAGATGGAAGATCTCTACCTCTCAGTCACTCCACCTCTCTCTCTCTTTATATCTTTCTTTCAAGTAAATGAATTTTTAAAAAAATATTTGCTTGACTGACTCCAATATTTCACATTTTTATTGGACATTTTATTGACCATACATTTGTACATATTTATGGAGTACAGTACCATAGTTGGATATCATGTGTAATGGTTATTTTAGTTGATTAGCAACTCTGCTCTTCAAATATCAGCTATATTTATGCGATCAGAAACTCCAGGCTCTTCTTTCATAGTTATTTTTGATAAAAATCATGGACCATTACACTCTATGTTACACTACACAACAGGAACACCATAAGCAACCCGTGCTACCTAACTGCCTGTTGGTGCTGTTTAATACAACCTCTTTCTGTCTTCTGCACCACAGGCTATTTTGGTGCAAGTGAGCAATGGCCTACCCTTTTATTCTATGTAGCTCATTTTAGTTTTCATGAATCTGTGAGATTTCTTTCCTTGTCTGGCCCATTTTCGTTTGTATGGTACGCTCTAATTCTATCCACATTGAAATAAATGATAGAATTTCATTTTTCTTTATGGCTGAATGGCATTTCACGTGTACGTGTACCATATACTTTTTTAATCCACTCATCTCGCGATGAATTATTTTTTTTGGTTAATTTCATTTGTTCGCTAATATGAACAGTGCTGTAATAAACACGCAAGCACGGCTAGATGCTTGAAATAATAATTTCACTACCTCCGGATACAATCCCAGAAATGGGATAGTTGAATCATATGGCAGTTCTGTTTATCCTTTTTAGAGTTTAGAATTGTAAGGGAAAACAGAGAAAAGATGACTACTCCATCTTGGGCGTCATACACAATTATGAATGTCTTCACAGGCACTGAACATATTAATTGTGTCCTAGCAAAGAAATGAATTACAATGGATATGGATAGACTAGACAGAAAGCCTATACAAAACCATGAAAGCAAAGAGACACCGCAGAATACTCAGACAAGAAAAGGAACTCCACGTGAGTGAAAAGCAGAGGTAGCCAATGTGAGGAACAGGGTCTGTACCTTACATGGCAAACTAGTATCAAACAGAGACGTGCACGATATGACATAAAAAAGCGTCTAGACTTTGTTTTTGCTGAAAAGTAGGGATCAGGGTAGGATTTTAAGACTACGAGGGAAGATGTATACATTTATAAGAGCTGCAGTTACCAGCAGTATGAATTTTAAAACAGTGATATTACATAAAGATTACATCATTTGGCTGAGTTATTCTGCTTGAGGTACTTTATCTTTTTCTAGAACATTGCCCAGGAATAAGGAGACTTGGGCTTTAGGTCTATATCAGGCTTTGTATTGTTACATAGGAACAGTATCTCATAAATAAGTAGCCATTTAATTTATTTGGAAAACAAGTGGTATTTTTCATTGTAATTTTCAGAAAAAAAAACCTGAATATAAAATATTATATCCTAATTTTTAACTATTTACTCTCCTTATTGTAAAAGGCCCTTCTTTTCCAAAAGTATTTCTTCATAATTTTTTTAACTATAAAGCTAAATGCTCTTACTCTAAGAACCACATTCCTATGAAATGTATTTGTATTTCTCAAATGAATTTGAACTTCATTGTCTTTATATAGAACACGTGTAGGGCAGATAAAGATTTGAGGTCTTATCAAAAAGCACTAGAAAAGAGTAATAAGTAAGTTCAATTTATATTCTGCAACCATGAAAGTCATAATGAACAAGTAGCACACTCAGGATTATTGAGAAAATAAATATATTCAAGAAAATATTAATTGAATGTTTACCTTAGTAACAATCCTATACGTAATAAAAGTTTCAATTGTAGTAACATGGCTTTCAGGTTCATCAACAGTAATGAAGAGATCCTTTAGCTCTGGCTCATCTTCAAACTTGATTTGATTTATCATTGATAAAGGGGATGTCGGCATCATAGGGCTGAAGGAATTCATGTCCATCAAGGAAGCATCCTAAGGAATAAGGCATTAAGCAGAATTATCAACAAAATAACTCAAAATCTCTAATTGTTAGCAAAAACAAAGTAATGAAATATATCAAGAAAAAAAAAGACTTTCAGTTAAGTAGGGGTATGCTTCAAAAAGTCTGAAGCATAGTAAAATGAGAAGAACAAGTTTTCTTTACGCAAGTTTGTTTTGAAATTCAAGCATGGGACTTTTTTTGCATTTTTGCATTATTTATATTTTGGATGAACTCTCATATTATCTGTGGTTTCTCTTACAAACTCACCCAGACATGACAGGGAGGAAGCAAGAGAGGGACTGTGGAAGTTCGGACAGAAGAAATGGAGTAGGGTGAGAGAGAGGGAGGGAGGAATGATAGAACAGATGAGAAAAGAGAAAGAAAAAGAAACAGATGAAGGTAGGAGACAAAAAGAATGGTAGAAGGATAGAAAGAGAAAAAGGAAGAAATGAAGGACAGAGGGAAGGAAGGAAGGAAGAAAAGGTATAAGATCCCAAGAATTGCTGTGACTTACTTGAACATGTTAGCATTTGGGGCCACTTGGAAGTGAAGAGCAGGTCCTCAGGAGCGTGTGACAACTTAAGAAAAGGGCTAACAGGAACAAGCTAGCCCTTGTTTCCTCCTTCCACCTTCTATGACCATGTTAGAAAACAGACAGGAAGCCTCACCTGGTATTAAACTTACCAGGATGTTATCTCAGACTTCTTACCCTTCGGAACTACGATAAATAACTATTTTTTAACAGATTACACAGTCTTAAGTATTTTAATAGCCACATTAATGGACCAAGACAAGAATAAAAAGAAAAACTATAGAAATCTCTGGAAATTGGAAATCTGATTCTTATACAGAAACGTAGAGAAAACTTAAACATGACCTGTGAGAGAATGGCAAAGTAGGAAGAAGATAGCATCTTTATGATGCAGAATCCAAGAAATGTCCAGGAATTGGAAGCACCAAGAACATACAATATTAGAGATGATGATAGTATTCAAAAAGATTGAAAAGCTAACAAAATCAAACAAGACTTACACATTCTTTCATCTACCTCGGACAACAAGGAATACTTTCCATCCCAATTTACAGAACACTACCAGTTTACTTTCCGGAGTCAATCAAGAGTACCAGGTATGATTGGATAAAAACTCTGAAAATACAGATACCAAGTGAGATTCGTGCACAATGAATGAAAATATCCAATCATCTCTTCCACTTGGTCACAGGACTGTTGGCAAAAAGATGAGCACCTCTTCTGTCAGTATGTTAGGGCTGATATAATGAAACATTATAAATAACATTTCTAAAGGACTGGAAGACCAAGCTCAAGATACTGGTAGACTCAGTAACCAGATGGGGAGTTGCTTTCCTGTTCACAGATGCTGTCTTTGCACTGTAACCTTCCATGACAGAAGTGATGAGAGTCTCTTCAGGGTTTCTTAGGAGGATGTCTCGCGCATGAGTGTGCCACTCAGAATGTAATCACCTCTTAATGCCTCCACCTCTCATCAATGACAATGGCCTTGGCAGTTAGCATCTCAATGTACAATTTAGGGGATGATTGAAATATTCCTACCATACTACCTATAGAGGGATTGATGATTCCTCACTTAGATAACCATTCTCAGAGAAAACTGACAGTGGTTTTCTCATGGACCAGCATGCCTCTACAAAACTCAACTCATTGGTTAGACATTCATGGTGGGTATGAGATGAACTAAAAAACAAATACAAAAATTTCTTGTGACTGAATGAGAGAAGAGGCATAGAGGCACGCCTGCAAAGAACAGACTTGCACCTTAAGAATCTGGCCCAGATCTGATAACTTGCTAGGTATATTCCAACCTCACTTGGGGGCAGCTTAAGGATATCTTCCCTGCTGGGGTGTGGGTGGAGATAGGGCCTATTTAACCTAATAACAGTGTTGTGTTCAATGAAAACACAACAATATACCAGGTCAGAGGTGGAGAGAGAAACAAGGAGCCTGAATATACAAAAAACCCAGTCTGAAAGCAGACTGAGATCTGTTACTCACGAATATATCAACTTGGTATTTCAGGAGTGTTTCTTTCATTAAATTTGTCTAATATGTTCAGTGCTGCTGCTTTGCTACTCATGTGAAGACAACGACCTCTGATCCGGTTGCCTGGGGTACCAGCCCTACAGAGAAATCCCCACACAAGACATGGAGTATTCACTCAGTTTTTCATTACCTAGTGTGGAAACTACCAAATATCCAACAATGAGAATGGCCTCTGATGCGAAAGAAAGTCACAAACAAATTGAACAAGGGCATTAGAGGAAATAGTGGCAACACTAGGTTGGAATGCTTAAGAAATACACTATCAGACAGATAAGGAAGCTATTAAATCCACAAATGAAAAGAACATTCAAACAACAACAGCAGTGTCAATAACAACAACAAAAAGACTCATAAAACTTGAAATAGGTTAGCAAGGTAAAAATTCAACAGAAAGACAGAATTCAAAGTCTGAAAGACAGAACTCTTGAAGTCTCCTACTACGTTGAATGAAAAGAACAGAGTATGGAAAATGAACGAGAAAAGACTTTTTTTTTTAAAGTCAAAGATCCAGGTAGACTGTTTCTGAATAAAACAAAACCCAGAAAAGCAGAAGGAAAATGTTTTTGAACTAAATTAATGTCAGGTATTGCCAGAATAAATAAATGAACATTGGTCAAAGGGCAATGCCACAAGATGTATGCACAATCATTATATTTCACAAAGCAGAGATTATTAAATTCTCAAAAGGTTTTAGGGGTGCATGAGCGGGTAAAACAAAATAAGAAGTCCAGAAATTTGGATGGCATCAGATTTCTCAATACTAATGTTGGAAATTAAAACATAATAAAACACTGCCTATAAAACTTCGAGAGTATTTCACCTCAAACTTTATACAACCAGGTGAACTGACATTTAAATAGAAAAGAAAGCAGTTTCACCCATGCAAGATTTAAGAAATGAAATTCTTATGCATATATTCTTTAAAAGCTTCTTCACTCTCTAAAATACAAAGGATGAACAGTCTCTAAAACCAAGATTTAACACAAGAAAAAAAAAAGTGAATTCCCAGGATGATGGTAAGAACTCTGCAGACATGTTACAAGTCTTAAGAACAACTGTACACCCTGGACCAAGAAACAGAGTCCCGGGAGCAGAATGATCAGCAGCACATACCAAGAAAGAGAGATAAGAGGGTGGATGCTTTAAAAACAGAGAAAGCAAAAGTGAAGTGAACAAAAGAGGGAAGGAAAGGAAAGAGAAGGAGAGAGGTGGGTGAAAAAGAAGGAAAGACCAAAAATGGAAAGAAAGGGGTGGACCAAAGGACAGAAGAAAAGAAACAAAGGAAGCATGAAAGAAAAGACAGTGAGACTAGGATAGCTCATTATGAGCGAAAGCACTTACATAAGATGGCCAGAAACACTAATTGCTCTAAAGAAAGCCAACAAGGGAGACTGCAAAACAGAGAAGGGAAGGGAAAAAAGAAAGAATGACTGCATATGAATATTCACAATAACAGGAGCTGTATAGCAATTTTTAAAAAGTAGAGTTTATGTATGGCTTGACTGTGAATGAAAACCAATTTTTCTTAAACCTGGATTTACCTCAAAATGAAAATGCTATTATGTGAAAACAATAAGAGAGAAATGATATAAGTATATGTTGGAGAGGAGGACATTTTCCTTCAAAAATAACACCACAATGAAAAAGAAGATGAGATATAGTTCCAGATGGAAGAAGACCTAACAGCCTAATGCAGCACCTGATCCTGAAATGCTGCTCCTGAACAAGAACATATTTTTTCTCTCCTCTCAAAGATAATCTTGGGAAAGCCAGAAAAACTTGGGAAGCTCTGTGGACCATATTATATGGATAGGCAATCCTGGTTTGGATACACTTACTGTGATTAAAAGACTGCTTATTCTCAGAAAACACACATAGAGAGGTACTTAAAGGTTATAGGACATCAAGTCTCTAACTTGCCCTCAGTGCACACAGAGAAAAAGCAAAAGGCTATTAAATGGTAACAGATACCAAAGGTCAGTTGTTCTTAAAATTGTTTAAACTTTTCCTTAAAGTTTAGATTAAACAGTAAAATAATAAATGTCCATGGTTGTTGAAAGTGCTGTGGTGGAGCATCTTAAGCTGCAGACTCCAGTTCTGGAATACTGAATCAGCACCAGTTTGTGCTCTGAACGCTCCGCTTCTGATCCAGCTCCCTGCTAACACCCCTGGGAAAGCAGCTGGAGATGCCCCAAATGTCTGGCAGTCTATTCGCAAATGGGAGACCTGGGTGAAGTTTCTGGCTTTGGCCTGGCCCATCCTTGTACAGTGTGGCCATTTAGGAGACTATACCAACAAATGCAAATCTGTCTCTCTTCCTCTCTGTAACTCTGTATTTCAAATAAATAAATGTCTCAAACAAATCAAATCACTTAATAAGAGTTAAAGCAATAAAAAAGTAAATTAAAAAATTAAAAAAAAAAGCAGATTGGCTGCTTGATCTGGCTGCGGTGCTGCTGGGAGTGCCTGAATATTCATTCCATCAATTAAGTGAATAGAGACTCAAAACTTCCTATTTTATCCAATGATTTATAGTCCACTGATATTATATCTTATTTTGAGATTTAATATGTTCCCAATTCCACCACAGGGAAACTTAAGGGAGTTAAAGGTAATAGCTTCGTGATTTGGCTAAGCCTTCATCATTCCTTCAGAAGTTTCTCATCTGACATAACAAGGTTTTCTAGATTGGTTTTGCTCTTTCCCAAACTTTGGAATCAGATTATTCCTTAAAGGAATCCTGGTTCTGTGGGAAATGCCCTGCTACCTGGTGGGCGTGGCCTAAAACTTACTTCCCTATGGTCTCAGGTAAAACTCCCAAGCATGAACGTGGAGTGTGATCTCCAACGTGGCTAGAAGGTCAAGGGGAAAACACATGGAACATGACAGGAAAGTCAAGGGAGATAGACG